ATATATATATATATATATAACATCGGCAATATTCAAAGCCTTTATATCCATATTTATTGGTACTCACAATCATTTTAAATAATTAAGAGCTTTACAATTGCTTTGTAGCACTGTCAGGCATAAACTATTTCTTGAACTCAAAATATAAGGTATTACTCATTATAGAAGACATGAGAACCATTTTAATATCACATCTATGAATGTGATAAAAGATAATTGGAACTCGATTGCAAATTGGTATTAAGAATAAAAGTCGAGAAATTAAATAAGGTAAGGTTGTTGGTATGTTATGACCTCCTCCATTACTAATTTGGTAGGAGATGTTCAATTTTAGTAGAGGCAGGGAATTAATAATTTCTATAGGAAATGCATTTCAAGGTTGTATTTGGTGCTTTGATCATGAAATGATGAGACAAAAGAGTCTCAGTAGTACTTTTTGGGGACTTAGTGCTCATCCATTATTGGAGTAGAGGTGATTGCTTTTTACTAATCACATGGCCCATAAGTTATTTTTAATTGATTTTAATTATTAAATATACTTGGAATCTTTTAAATGTTAAGAAAATGTTTCTCTTACTATCATTGATCAGAATTTGTTGAGCTCTATGTTAAGCATTTGATAGGAGTTGAAGCAACATTTAGAGGAATTTGGAAGTCATAAAACAAGCGCAAATATACAAAAGGATGTTGAATTAGAGCTTAGCAAATAAATCATGAGACTTGGTTTTGTCATTTGAGTTTTAAGAGTCACTAGCTTATAAGTTCGTGATAAAATTATATTCCTATATGCATTTAATACTTTTGATGAATTCCTAAAATCTAGGAAAAGTTAATTTTATATTTTAAGAAAATCAAATAATATTGGTATATGCTTTGAAATTTTTTTATCCAATTTTATAAAAAAATGTCCTATATTTTTTATATGCTTAAAATAATAAATAAATTTATAATTTTATTGGGGTGGGGAATTTTTATTTATGAAGTTGATGTGTTCACTACAGCTCCTGAAAAGATTTCTATCTAAATAATCTGATACGTCATTTAAGCAATAATATACTATCTGAGATGTAGAAATGTTATATTAAAATACAACTAACAATTGAGATGTTAAAATTCTTTAGGATTTATGTGTCTGCATTCAAAATAAGTTTTTTCTACAATCTTATGGTATATATAATTTATTTTAATCTAAAATCTGATATCCTTACAAGGGCAAACCTTTAAAGTTAATTACATCCCACAAGTTGCAGACTCCTGATAAAAGTCTTAAATAAAGTATTAGCTCATATCATGGAGGATTTTAAGGTTATTGTTTTTAAATGGAAAAAAAATCAACTTTTGAAGATTTTCAAAGGAGTGAGTTTAAGGGTTTGAAAAGATTTATTTGGAATTCAAATGTTGAAATTTAGCATCCAATGACGATGTCTCATAGAAAGGCCCACAGAGGGGATTAACAAAATTTATGAAGGTTTTATATCACATGCTTTAGATTGGAAAATCATTAAAGGACATATGTTTGATTTGAAAAGTTGGGATTGAAAGTTTTGAGTTCAAAAACGTTTGAGTTGAGTTGAAATGTTTGAAAAGCATTAATTTGAGTTCAAAAAGTTTGATTTGAGTTAAAAAGGTTTGATTTGAGCTAAAAATATTTGAGTTTAAAATATTTGATTTCAAGGAGCTAAATCATATTGCTGAAATTAATATGATTAAGCTCTGGTTTGAATATCAAAAGGGAGAATCCTTAAGGGCTAAATTCTTTCTTGATAAATATTGTGCTTTCTCTCATCAATCTTTGGTGAAATGGAGAGTTGGTGACTAAAAATTGTCGAAATCTCTTCTTAATACTAGAATGATTGCAAAAAATATGTCTATTGCGATATTGGAGTGGGAAAGGTATCCATTTGGCATGATAAGTGGTTTGAGGAGGAGTTTGACCAAATGAGCAATGGGGAACTATGCAATTATGTGATATATGACTTTAGGGTGGATGAAAATTGGAATCTTCCCATGCTTAAGAAATGGGTGGGTGATAAGGCTGATCTCATATCAAAAATCCCAATAGACACTTCAAAATAAGATGATTTACTACTGAAAATAGCAGGAATGTTTCGCTTTTCAATTCCTATTATGTAAGGTGAGGGGAGAATCTGCTATGAATTTGTACATTCACTGCTACTCAATTAAGATTTGGAAGGCTCTCGAGCAACATTTTTGGAGTTGTGATTCCTCCATTTTGGAGGGATCTAAATGCTTATTTTCATAAATGGAATTAAATGGATGCGGGGAAGTGGTTATTGGATGTGTTCAAGTGGTTTATTTGGAGTTTTCAAAATTCCTGCAAACATGGAGGTGCCCCTGTTTCTATTAATACTACAATTTTAAATGTTTTGGTGTATGTTTTTAAAGTTTGCAGATGTTACACTAATAGCTCTCCTCAAGGACAGAATAGGTAGACAGCTGGTGGGGGTAAGGCTGTTGCTCCTAAACTTTTCAGGTGCTATCCTCCTTCTACTAGTTGGGTGAAGATTAACACTAATGTAAGTCGGAGGCCTAATTTGGCTGGTGTTGTAGTTGTTTTAGGAACTATGCTGCGAAATGCTAAGATTTTTTTCTTCTTGTTGTGTGAATCAGAATGTTGAGTTGTTTTGTTAACTTTGTTTATTTTTTGTTTCTTTTAGTTGGTCCTTGCTGCAGATAGAGACTGATTCTATTGTGCTATTGGAAAAACCTTTGAAAAAGAAAAAGCCTCCATGGAATTTGGTTATTTGCCTTAAATATATTGAGTTACACTGATAGGTTTAAGCTAAAAAACTCATAGAGCTTCATATACAGGGAAGGAAATTCACCTGCACATTGCTTGTCCAAAGAGGCGCTAATAGAGTTGTTGTGGTTATTGACCCACTTTTGGAGCTAAGGAGGTTATTCGTTGGGGACCTTTTGTTTATTGGTTTTGTTTTTCTTTTTGCTTTTTGGATATTGAGATTGTAGTGTGAGTTCCTCTATATATCTACACACACACACACACACACACACACACACACTAGAATTATTAAAGACAATGCTTTGGATCAAATATCAAAGTCAATATAATCATGAAGGGATTGAACTAAGACTTTAAAATTCTATGTCGGGTGGATAAGAATGAAAGAAAAACATTTATTTTCTTAGAGAAATTTTATTGGTGGTATGGAAAATAAAAAAGTTGGTCAGTCACGAGCCTAGGTTAGGCCAACACTTAAAATACCCATTAGAATTTAACAGTTTGAGTTATTGCATTCAAGGCGATCTAGCGTATAAATCTAGTTAAAAATTTTAAAGAATTACTAGGCATAATATGCAATATTTTTAAAATGATTGTAGAAGAGTTGAGAGCTGTATAATAAAGTCTAGGCCAAGACTACTTCAAGGTTCCTAATTTGAGTAGATTTTAAGTAATATTAAAATATGTAATTTCGTGGTAGCCCCAATAGTAACATTAGAGCTTAAAGAGTCTTATATATGTTAAGTGGGTACTCAAAGATCAAATATATTACATTTAATTTTTGTATTAAATAGGATAAATTACTTTTATTGCTGCAAGAGAAGTAAAAACCATGACATTACTGTAAGAATACAAGGGAAGAAATAGAAGAAGAGGAAAGAGATCAATAACAGAGAAGAAGAGTATCTAGAGCTTCCACCAAGAAGAACATACTAGGAATTGGCTATCAAACACAAAAAATTGGAGATTTAGATTTAAATTTTTTTTCGAAACAACAAGAGCATTTTCATTTTTTATTCATCAAATTAAATATTTAAATAATCATATCACTTTTTAAAGTTTAAAATTCAATGAAACTAAGAAAACATAAACAAATCAACTTAAATTAAGAAACAAATATCTCCATTCAAGCAAAACGACCCCACTAGCCCCTAAAGAAGAAGAAAAAAATAATTAAATAATGAGTTATAAATAAATAATTAAAATTGTTCCATGAAGATGGAAGGATTTCAAATTTAAAGTTCACATTAGAAAATTTTATACTTCAATTTTAAATTTAATCTTGCATACAAATTTAAATATTTTCCAAAGTGAACCTTTTAAATTTTTTTGTGTTTGGTGAATCTCTCCTAGTTTTTGAACATGAAATTGTGATGAGATTATCCTAGCGCTTGATCTCATCTTAAAATCTTCATTTTGCTTTGTTAGTGCAGCCATAATAACTTGTTGCTTGATATTTTTCTCTGTTTTGCTTTCCTTCAAGAGACTTTTAGAGTTGTTGGCACTTATAGAGGAATTACACTTTTTTTAATGTTATCATTAATAACATTATTATGAAGTAATTCCATGTTGACGGAGTCCATTTGTGATAATTTTAGTATGGTGTATCATTCAGAGGAATTCGCCGGTCTTTTGGTCTTAGGTCTATGTTGGAGACTTCGACTTTTTATTAAAGCCATTTATTAGAGAAATGACCCTGAATTTAATTTCAAATAATTTCCGACGTAAATTTCAATTAGCATTGGTTTTTTTTTTTTGACAGAGATCAGCATCCAGTAAAAAAAGACACTAAACAGCTAAAAGCTTCCAGTGAAAAGACTATCAGAATTGATTCTCTACTTTGTTTTCCTGGACACCGCGATTCTAAACAAGAGAAAGTAATGATGTTTCACATTCTTACGCATTTATAGAGATATATGCCGCAAGATCTTTGGAGATGGCATATATTTGGCCGGTGGCATGCCTAAAATACTTGTTGCCTTCTTCACCAAATTTCCAAAATTCTGGTTCATGATATTTTACCCCCCTGGAAAAGAAAAATGTAACAGAGATTTTAATACTTGAATTTTTTTTAGCGGTACATTGAATACAAGTAGTGATTAATCTACGTATGAGATAATAATTTTAAGGAAAGTGAATAGGATAACAGTAACAAAAAAAGTTTCACATTATAAAATCTATAAACTAAATATTGTTCAATTTATATTACTTTTGTGATAGAACAGGCCCAGACTTCATACATCCAACATACACTCTGGGCATGGGTTTATAGCGGAGAAGAGTTGTTACCAGCATCCCTGCAACACTTCCCAACCGTATGAATTGCAACATAAATAAAAGACTATATGCTATTTATATTAGCAAAGAAGTTAAATGTGGTTCTATTAAAAAGTATAAAAAAAGATTACCTAGATTAACATGAACATCATCATCAACCTTCACGTAGAAATCAGCATCCCAAATGGAGACTGCAGTGGCGAAGAACACCCTTGTCTTTGTCGATAGCTGGTGATAACCCTCCACATGCTCAAGCCTTAGAAAATCCTTTGTTTCTGCTTCCTCCGCATCAATTGCACGATCCAATGCTCCCCCAGGTGTGGCACTATGACCGATGACAAATCGGATTACAATACGCTTCTCCCTCTCTAATCTCTCCAGCTTAGAACCTAATTAGCAATGTCCAAGGTTTAGAAAGCTCTATATTTCAACTGGCATTTGGCTATTGTTTCTTTTATTAGAGAAGGCATTAAAATTTAAATTTAAACCCGGATGAGCTTAACTGTTTATCACTCTCGATTTAAGCAAAGAAAAATGTGTTATATTACAAAAGAAATGGATGATTATGTCGATTAACGTATTATTTCTAGAAAACAAAAAAGAGAAGTGATAATGAATAGGAAATAATTAAGGATATATAAATGACAAGTTAATATACATTTACATGTGAAACTGACTAAAGATATCCTTAGCTATGTTATTGTTCCAACAGAGATGCTCGCCCGCTTGTTTCATAATATTCTTATATAGGAAAATACAAACATATCATCGAATCATCTATTTTCTGCATTTATGATATAAACTTATGAAATCAATTCATGAGATGTATCACGATTAAATCATTAAGAATTTAAGTGATAAATATGGAAATTATAATTTTGTGATGTTTTTTGATATTTAGGCTATGATTATTAAATAAAAATAAATATATATTACTTTGTGAACAGGTAATATTTAAATCTTCCTCGAGGAAAATTCTCAGCGTTATTTTCTTAGAATAATATCAATTTAATATATATATATATATATATATATAAAGATTGTGAATGAAAAATAAAATTTCAATGTTAGATATGTAAATACATAAGAATTGGATGGTACGTGCAAAGGCCCCTAAGAAAAAAATTGCCAAATTATGCCCACTCCCGGCAGCAGCCCGCCTTTACTTCCGCGACAAAAATTTCGTAAATTTTTTTGTGATGGATATGTAAATAAATGAGAATTGGGTGGAATGTATGTTTATGCCTCCTAAAAAAATTTCCTATATCCCGCGCACACAAAACAAATATTACATCATATTTTCCCCTGTTATTCCGCTTTAGGTATTATTGTTCTTCCCGTATTATTCTGTGTTAGGTATTATTGTGATGATATTCATGTGTTAATGTGTTATGAGAATATTCCAGGTGTTATAATAACATAATAACACATCAATACCACTACAATAACAACTGAATAATGCGAAATAACACGGGAGGAATATTCCCGTGTTATCGGGCCGGATCACAGGAAAATTAGTTTTTTTTTCCTATCAGCTCCACGTGGAGGTGATTCATTGGATTCAAGACATATCTCTACATCGAGAGTCTGGACGTCTGCACAGCCGTTTAGAAGGTAAAACAAATCTCAACTATTGGAAACCCAAATGACGCCGAGATAGCCAGTTGTGGATACTTAATTTTGGTTTTGTTATCTCTTCCAAAAGTAAAATAAAAAGAGTCGAGAGTCCGGACGTCTGCACAGCCGTTTAGAAATCTCAACTATTGGAAACCCAAATGACGCCGAGATAGCCAGTTGTGGATACTTAATTTTGGTTTTGTTATCTCTTCCAAAAGTAAAATAAAAAGATAATTCTTAAAATTTAGTTATATTATTTGATTTATTTTTAGCTAAATGCGAGATTATGAACCGAGCACGAACAAGCTATTCATAATTAAAAAAAAAAATTGAAGTGTAATGCGAGCAATCCTTTGGCTCGCTTGAGTTGAATCCCTACTAATCTAAAGCCTTGGGATTATTGTTATTATTATTATTATTATTTTGTTTTCGTATTATTTTAAAAACATATATATTTTGTGGATTTTTTCTATGTTTTTATTTTTTATATTTAAAATTAAATTAATTTACTTAAAATAGTTAAAATTATTTGAAGTGTTTTTAAAAATAATTAAATATGATAATATCATATCAAATACATTTTTTTAGGGGAGAATAATGTTGGTATCAAATACATTTTGTTTAAAATTAAAACACAAAATCAAAAAGAAAAACTAAAAATGATCCTAACCGGCGCTAAACTACTTATTTTATTATTTTTCTTAACACCAAGGAAACACAATTTAATGCAGCGAATAAAAACTAGCAAGTTATATTTAAAACAATTATGTGATCGATGCAGGCTAGCTTATAATCATAGTGCATATGAGCACCTTTAGGCATCCAAGTTTCTCGAATCGACTGGCGTCGCCGATTGCTGCTAAAGGCGGTGTTGATCCCGATGAAGACGAAAGCCTTTTTGAGGCCTCCGCTGGAAGGAGGTCCCCAAGTTTTGCTAGTTCTAGCCACTGCAACCTCCATTTCAAGTGAAGATATTGACTTCTCCAATGACCTGCATTCCTTGTTAGAAACAATAATGTGCCAATATATACCTGCTAAGTAAAAAACTCGTAATTATTAATGCATAGAAACAAGCATGTGTTGAAGTCTCACTGAATGGCTTGCTGGGTCCTTGACACTTCTCCCATTATGCCCTTCGGAATGTCCTCTCCTAATCTCTATAGCACAAGTCATTGTCTTATTTTACAGATATATATATATATATATATAGATATAGATAGATAGATAGATAGATATGTAACTTCAATTTTAGTTTTCTTTGTCAGCAAATTAAAACACCTACTCTTTTATGAGCACACTCAATGGAACCCTTAGATTCATATGTAGTTGTAGAAGCGGAAGAATTTGATGATTGTCTGCTCTCAGACGAGGAGGATGAAGGGAGCACGCCGATGTGTTGGGTAGAGAGAAAGCCCAACATGAAGCAAATAAAACATAGCGCTGACACCAGCCTACATGGCAAAAACCTCCCTCTTGATTTCTTCTCGAACGGCAGGGGTCTCTCCGTCATGGCCTTCATGAAGCCGCGCAGGGGAAACATTCCCGCAATTCAGGGATAGTTAAGGAAAGCTCTAGGTGAGCTACAGATTTATGAAATGAAAGCTGTGGAGCTGAAATTTAAAGGAGAATGCATGGGTTTGGGTTTGATATATACCATCACGTGTTGTTGTTGGCTGGATGACAAGTATCATTCTATTGCATGAACTGTACAGGAGCGGCAATTTCCCAAACATAGGCAAGTTTTGGAGGTAGGATGACAACGGAAAGTGCCTGACTTGAGATATTGGATCATGAATCCGAAGTGCAGCGATAATTATATGAATACAACGTTCAGTTTGCGAGGCACTTTGTGTGACCTCGGCTCATGCTTTGTGTGTGACCGGTCTGCTGTGATTAAACAGATCTAACGAGGACGTTCTCTACATAAAAAAGACGTGCTTTTATGCAGCCTACTTATATGTGGTCAGATAATTTTGAATATTTCTATTTTACTTCATAAATTTTTTGAGAGAGCTCTGCTACTCTATTAATTCCATCCCACACTAACCAAATATGAAAATTTTCTTTCTAGATTTATTAACTGAGTGGTGTTAATAATTGTTATTTATTATTCAATTTATATTTCTTGTTTGAAGTATTTGTAGGACATTAAGAGTGTGTTTGGCGTGGCTTAAAAGATGTGGTTCTTTGGGAAATTGTCGGAATCGTCTTTCTGAAAATTACAACAAAATTGTGTTTTGGGAAAAGCTAATTAGACATATGGATTGCAAATTTGACCGCACGACCCGCGTTTATTCGAGATAATTTTTATTTTGTACCCTGCTATTCTTTGTGCTTTCGGATCCCGCACTCCCGCGCCCCTTTCTCCTTTGTGTGTCTTCGGTGCCTAGGGTCAGCTTTGGTGGCTATTAGTTGTGGTGATTGTTGTGGTGAGTTGGTCTTTCTTCTCAAACTCCCTTCTCTTCCTACCGCTTCGGTGGAAAGGGTTAGCCTTCTTCTTCGACTCTCCTTTTTGTGGCTTTGGTGGCTAGGATTGGTTCCAAATTGATCCTTTTGTACTTGTGGTTGTTGCGGTGAGCCTGCCTTTCTTCTCCTCCCCCTCTCCCTTCTATTCTCCAGCAACGTTTGTATCCTTCACTCTCTGTTGCCCTAATATATTCTTTACATATAAGGCATTTTGATTTAATGATGCGTATCTTTCTGCTCGATGATGGCTTGGTTTCTTTGTGTTCTATTTTCGATTGATGGACTGGAGGATGGTTGAGTTTTGATGCTGATTTTTCAGTTATTCTTGCTATATCAAAATTATAGTACTGTGATTTTCTTGGTATGTGAATTTTTTTTTGGAAATTAAGTGGAAATTGAAGGATGGCTTGGTTTCTCTGTGCTATTATTGTTGGCATGATGAAATTTGTGATTATGTTATTGTTTTGCTATGATTTTGGTGCGCTGTGATTTTGGTGGTGTTGATGATTTAGTGATTGCTTTTGGGATTATGCTATTGGTGGTGTTTAGTGTGCCATGTTTTTGGTGTGGTATGATTTTTGTGGTGTTTGGTTTGGTGTGATAGAGTGGTTTTTATCATGCAATGATAAGTGATGTGGAGATGGTGGTGTGGTTTGGAGTGCTATTGATGTTGGTCGTAGGTGACGTGGAGTTTATGGTCTCTGGTGTGGTGTTCTATTGATGTTGGTGGTAGGTAGTGTGAAGATGGTGATGTGTATTTTTAATGTGGAGACGTGGTGTGGAGGTGGTGGTGTTGGTGGTGATATGGTGGTGGTGTGCTATTGATGTTGGTTGCAGGTGATGTGGAGGTGGTGATGATGAAAATGCTTGTGATGAAGAAATGTGATGTGTTGTGGTGGTAATGATGATAATGTTGTTGATGAGGAAGTGTGATGTGTTGATAAATATGGTGGAGGTGGTTGGGATGTGGAAGTGGTGTTGTAGATGTTTCTATTCCTTACACTTTTATCTCTCATGAACATATGTTATTTAATTCTTTGCATCCTAGTTCACATAATGGGCAAGGCAAAGAAATTGGTTTATCTGCTATTTGGGATAAAGAAATGACATTAATATTTTATGACATCTGTGACAAAGAGGTCAAGTTAGGAAATAGGCCATTCACCTATTTTAATAAGGAAGGTTGGTATAATATAATGAAAAAAGTTTAAAGAACACACTGAGAGGAAGTATGATATAATGCAATTTAAGGACAAATGTGATCATTTGAAAAAATACTAAATATGGAAAGGGCTCAATTGAGGATTGTCGGTTGCCAACATGGGAAAATAAAATTATAATTTAATATATATATATGATTTTTGAGAAATAATATTTTAGTTTTGAAAATATTAGACCAAATCGATCCCATATACGTCATAGTTTAAGAAAACAAGTACAATACTGCAAGTGAGGTATCCATCCCGAGGAATAGAGATATAACTTGATAGTAGGACTCAATTAAATGAACTAAAGAATTTATGACATCTGTTCTAGTTTGCGAAACTATTATGTTGACCGACAAATTTTACCAATCTAATATGAAATATTAGATATGGGTTTATATTAAGTTGGGTTCTAAATTTTCCTATAAGTGCAAGCCCTTATAGTTAATTTCATCTTAGACAATCAAAATTGCCTAAGAAACTCTTGATTTAGATCAGAATGTATTGTCTTCAAGAATCTCAAAATTTAGGAACTTCAAGGTCGGACAAAGAAAATTTGAAATGGGAAAGATCAAATTTGGAATATTTACTATGGAATCCAAAGAGAGAAAATTAGGAGATGCCACGGATCCCGAGGTGAACCTCAGTGACTTCCCAAGCTATCTTATGGTTTGACTTTGATTTTGAGAAAATATTATTAAATATTTCATCCTACAAATTCTATTATTTAAGGCTTACATTTGTAAAACACAGTCATACAAATAGTCTGGAAGATAAGAGGATTTATGTCGTAATGATTGATATTAGATCATGAATCCAAAGTGCAGCGATAATAACATGAATATAGCATTCAGTTTGTGAGGCACTTTGTGTGACCTCAACTCATGCTTTGTGTGTGACCTGTCTACAGTGATTAAACAGATCGAACAAGGATGTTATCAACATAAAAAAGACGTGCTTGTATGCAACCTACTTATATGTGGTCAGATAATTTAGTATATTTCTATTTTACTTCATAAATGGTTGGAGAGAGCTCTGCTACTCTACTAATTACAACCCACAATAATCAATTTTCATTCTCGATTTATTAACTGAGTGGTTTTAAAATTTGTTATTTATTATTCAATTTATATTTCTTATTTGAAGTAATTGTTGGACAATAAGTGTGCGTTTGACATGACTTAAAAGGCGTGGTGCTGTGGCAAAATGATGGAATCGTCTTTTTGGAAATTGCAACATAACTGTGTTTTGGGAAAACTTAGTTAGACATACGTGTCACAAATTTGATCCTACGGCTCGCGTTTTTTTGAGATAATTTTCATTTTTACCCCAGGTGCTCTTTACACTCTCGGATATTGCACTTTCGTGCCCCTTTCTCCTTTGTGTGTCTCTGCTGGCTAGGGTTATCTTCGATGGCTATTGGTTGTGGTGGCTGTAGCGGTGAGTTGGTCTTTCTTCTCACTCTCCCATCTCTTCTCTGCAGCCTTGGTGGCAGGGTTGGGTTTGATGGCTGGGGTTGGCCTTTCTTCTTTGATTCTCCTTTTTGTGGCTTTGGTGACTAGGATTGGTTCTAAACTGACCCTTTTATATTAATGGTTGTTGCAGTGAGCCTGCCTTTCCTATCTTCTCCCTCTCTCCTCTATTCTTTGGCTCCGTTTGCATCCTTTGCTCGCCATTGACCTTATACATTCTCTACACATAAGGCATTTTGATTTTGTGATGTGTAACTTTGTGCTCGGTGATGGCTTAGTTTCTTTGTGTTCTATTTTCAGTTTATGAATTGGAAGATGGTTGTATTATGATGCTGATTTTGCAATTATTCTTGCTATGTGAAAATTATGGTGCAGTGATTTTTTTGGTATGTGAATTTTCTTGGAAATTAAGTGGAATTTGGAGGATGGTTTGATTTCTCTATGTTATTATTGTTGGCATGAAGAAATTAGAGATTATGTTGTCGATGTGCTATAATTTTGGTGTGCAATGATTTTGGTAGTGTTTGATGATTTTGTGATTGTTTTGGGGATTATGTTGTTGGTGGTGTTAAGTGTGCCATGATGTTGGTGTGCTATGATTTTGGTGGGGTTTGGTTTTGTATGAAAGAGTGGTTTTGATCATGCAGTGGTAGGTGATGTGGAGATGATGGTGTGGTTTGGTGTGCTATTAATGTTGGTGGTAGGTGGTGTGGAGGTTGTGGTGTCTGGTTTGGTGTGCTGTTGATATTGGAGGTATGTGGTGTGAAGATGGAGGTGTGTGTTTTTAATGCGGCGATGTGGTGTGAAGGTGTGGTATTGGTGGTGATATGTTGTGGTGTGCTATTGATGTTGGTTGTAGGTGATGTGGAGGTGGTGATGTGTTGCGGAGGTAATGATGGTAATTCTGGTGATGAGGAAGTGTGATGTGTTGATAAAATGGTGGTGGTGGTTGTGATGTGGTATTGGTGCTGCAGATGTTTATGTTCCTTACTTTTTTTTATCTCTCATGAACATATGTTGTTTAGTTCTTTGCATGCTAGTTGACATAATGGGAAAGGCAAAAGAAATTGGTTCATCTACTACCTGGGATAAAGAAATGGCTTTAATATTTTGTGACCTCTTTGTCAAAGAGGTTGAGTTAGAAAATAAGCTAACCACCTATTTTAATAAGGAAAGTTGGTAGAATATAATGAAAAAGTTTAAGGAATGCACGGGGAGGAAGTATGATATAATGCAATTTAAGAACAAATGTGATCAATTTAAAAAGGACTGGAAAATATGAAAAGAGCTAAACCGAGGATCCATAGACTTAGGTTGGGATACTATAAAACAAACCATCATTGCTTCTGAAGAATAGTAGACCGAGACATTAGATGTGAGAACGTTTGAAATGTAAAATAATTATAAAGTTTCAATGTTTTCTTTTTAGGTGGACCAAGAAATATTAATTTATTTGTATGTGGAGCCAGTTGTCGGAAATTTCAAATTCAGTGGCATTGAAAATGAGATTAATGATAAATTGGATTAATATTCGGTGGAGTGGTGGCCACAAGTGAGCAAGTATGGGCACCAAGTGAGAGAGGCCATGAATCCCAATCTGAGCATTTTGAAGTGGAGTAATATTCTGGGTCCAATTAGGGGTACAATAATAACCTACA